GGTTGGCTGGACCGGAGGACGGGTCCGCACGGCCTCCCAGTAAGGCCGGGGTCCGGGCCTGTGTGAGATCGGCCGGGCGGGCTGGGTCCAGGTGGTCCTTGGGCTCCGTTTCGGGTGGGTCACCCCCTCCCCAGTCGTGGCCCTTTCCTGCACCCACTGCTCCTTGACGCCGCGCCGGCTGACCTGCCTGTCCCCTGGCCCTGTACCCCGTTGTCCCCGAGCCGTGCCATCCCGATCCCTGCTCCATTGGCCTCTCGGCATCACCATTGCATGTCCCCCCAGTGTGATCAGGGTCTGGGGTCAGGGCTGTACTTCCTGAGAAAGCCTCTAATGTCAGCTACTCCCTTCCTGCCCTGGGACACACCGGCCCTCTCCCTCTGCACCCCCACCCCCCGAGGCCGGTGGGGGGAGACCCAGCCAACATGACAGCAGTTTGAGGCCCTTTAGGGTCCCGGAAGGGGCCCCAGCATCCCGGATCCCTCTCTCCACACTCTCCACCCTGTCTCCGTGGGCGTAGGCTGCTCAGCCTCTCCTCCCAGGGTGTGGGCACCCGATCACCCACATTCCTGGGCTCCAGGCTGGCACCTTCCCCAGGGCAGTGGACGCCATAGCATTAGCCTCAGGCAGGGGCCGAGACCTGCCTGCCCCTTTCCCGTCTCCCCCTTTTCAGGGAGACAGATCCCAGGGTTACCTTCCCTTCCCCATAAAGACAGGTATCCCGGCTTCCTCCACCCGGAGCCCGGGCTGGATGGATGCAGGATGACCCCGCCCTCCCCTGCCCATTGTCCTGGATCCTGGGGAGGAAGTGCTGGGGGCTGGGCGAGGGGTTTGGGGCCACAGGCCCTGCGGATCCCAGGCCTGGACTGTACCTCCAGCCCTTGCACTTTGCCCATTGGCAATCCCTGCCCCTGTGTGGGGGTTGTGGCCCTGGTGGGAGCTGGCTGCCACTTCGTCCTGGCTGACCCCGACCTGACCCTGTGTGGGAATTTTAGGGTAATTTTGTGTTTAGGATTTTCTCTCCTCTTGCTTCTCTTCTGGGCTCCCCGTTTGTGCTTTGGCCCTGGAGTTCTCTTCCCTGTCTGCCCTCCCATTTCTGTGTGTGTTGGCCTGCGCCTCTCCTTCCTTTTCCTCCCATTATTTCCTTCATAGCGCGACCTCGATTTTGCCTTCTCTCTTGTGCCTCTGGTTTTCTTGGTATCTGTGACTCTCTGCCCCTCCTCTTCCCCCTTCCTGCCACCCGTAGGGTCTCTGCCCATGTGTCCCTTTCTCAGAATTGCCCTCCAGTGCAGCCTCTCCTCTATCTGACGTTTAGTACACTTGTGAGTGACGAGGAATAAAAATATCACCATCTCTGCCCTTGGATTCACATTGCATTCGGCCACTCCAGAGGGACAGCCATCCTTCCTTTTTCCGACATTACCCCCCACCCCTTATTCTCCGGTCATGCCACCCCAAACACACCTCTGGAGCTACAGGGGCCTCCTA